CAGGAACTGCCTGCGGGCTCCGGGGAAAGGGCCGCCGGCGCTGGGGCCCTCCCGGGGCCCCGGGAGAGGCTGGGCTGTGTGGTACCGCCGGCCCCGCGGGGTGGCTCTGCCCTGCGCCCCCGGAGACCCCCAGGCTGAGGGTCCTGCCGCAGGCTACCGACCCCTGAGTGCCTCCAGTCAGAGCTCCCTGCGCTCCCTCATCTCCGCGCTCTGACTCCGGACCGCCAGGGCCCGTGGACCCTCCGCCAGGAGATGGACGCCTGCGACGCCGTGCCGCGCCCTACCTCAGCCTGTCGCCTTTTCAAGGACAGCTCGGTCTCTGGTCGGCTTGAGGAGACCAGAAGTCGAACAGGTGCATCTGGTGCTATTATGGGGGGCTTGGCCTGGCCCTCGGGGTCCAGGCTGTCGAGTCCAAAGGGCAAGAGGAATCCAGCCTCCTCCCCGTGAGCCTGGATGTAGGGGGTGGTCTCTGGTTTTCCAGGTCTTTGCGCCTCTCTTGGGGTGGTCCTGGACTGCAGCCCTCAGTGAGAGGTCAACAGAATGGTCACAAAGACCCGTCACAGACTTTGAATAAAGGGTCCATAGTTTGGCCCGGGGCGCCGCAAGTTCTTGCGTGGTGGGAGGTGAGTGCTAATGAGCGTACGGAGGGCCGGCCCGCGTGTGTCGGTGCAAAGGAAGGGCGCGGCGCCGCGACTGCGGCGGAGCCTCCTGGAATGCGAGAACGGAGAAGATGGATGGGCTGGGTTCTTAGAAGGCGGGGATGGGTGGACGAAGGGGTTTGCGGGCAGAGTAACGCCGAAGGGCCTTCCTGGTCCCCGCCCAGAGTGGACGGGGCGGGGAGAGCGACCTTCTCCCCTGCCTTCTGCCTCGTGTCTCCTCGGTTTCCTGTCTGTCCTGGGAGGGGCCGGTCCGCCTTGTGTGCGATAGCAGGGAGCGAGCTGGGCCGAGCCCAAGCGCGGAGAGGCCGGTCCGAAGGGCAGGGCCTCGCCCGCGGGCTCCGGTGCGTCAGGCACGTCCTCAAAGGCCGGGTGTCTCGGGATCGGGACGCCTTGCTGAGCTCCGGAGAAGGCCGGGCGGCGGAGAGATCACCCGCAGAGTGGGACACGCAGGCTCTAGGGCGGACCCGTCCGGCAGCACCTTGGACAGAGCCCGGTCCGCGGGATGGGGCTGGGTGGCAGGGCTGTGCCCTCTGGGGTGGGTGCCCGAAGGTGCGGAGACCTGGGATTCACGCGGAAGGCGCAGGCGCACGGCGCTGAGGTCCATGGGGTGCCGGGGTCACTCCAGCGAGCCCGCAGG